CCGGCAGCCGCTCCCCGGTGCCCATTATCCCGTCCCGGTGCCCCATAGACGGTCCCGGTGCCCGTTATCCGGTCCCGGTGCCCAGTTGTCGGTGCTGATCGCCGGTCCCGGCGTCCGGTACCCAGTGCCCCGTCCCCGGTGTTGTCCCCGGTCCTGGTGGCCGCTCCCCAGTGCTCGGTGCCAGTGGTGTCCCCGGTGCCGGTTCCCGGTGCTGTCCCCGGTGCCGGTCCCCGGTGCCGCTCTGACATCAGCACCGGGCGGGGCGTGACGGGGCGGCCCCAACTGGGCAAGAAAACCGTCTCCGGTGCCCACCCCGGTGCCGGTACCCGGTACCTGCTGCCGGTACCCAGCGGGCGGGGGCGGTTTGGGGGAGTCTCCGCCACCACCGGGGGCTCCCTCGGCGACCGCGGCCGCTGCGACCACCATGGACCGAAACGGGCGTTGACACACCCCCACCTCTCCCAAGGCTTCCCCCCCCCGCCCGGTACCGGGACCCTCCCCGAGGCCACCAGGGCGGTACCGGCGGAGCGGGCGCTGCCACATCCAGAGGGATTTTTGGGGAGCAGCACCTGGGAAACGGCCGGGACGTACGGGGAGCGCCGCCCCCCGGGCAGAGCTGCCCCCGCCCCGCCGCGCCCCGTCCCCGGAGCCGAGCCAAGCCCCGGGGCCGCCTCGTCCTTTGTGTGCGCCGGGGCACCGGGCACCGCCGGCAGCAGCGGGAGCCGAGCCCGGGGAGCGGGGATAGCGGGGAGCGGGAGCGGCCCCGGGGCCCGGGGACCCCCCGGCGGCCCCATGAAGGAGCCCGACGCCATCAAACTCTTCGTGGGGCAGATCCCGCGGCACCTGGAGGAGAAGGACCTTAAGCCCATTTTCGAGCAGTTTGGGAAAATCTACGAGCTCACCGTCATCAAGGACAAGTACACCGGCATGCACAAAGGTACCGAACCGTCGCGGCCACCAGACGAAGGGCCGCGGCCCCCCCGCCTCTCCGGGAAGGGGCGGCGGGGATGGGGGAGCGGCGGCGGCGGCCCCCCGGCAGTGGGGAGGGGTGCGGGGAGGGCCCCGTGGTAACGGCCCCGGGACCGGGAACAGCCTCGCAGTACAGTACCTGGGACCAGGAACAGCCCCCGGGACCAGGAACAGTCCCCAGGACCGGGAATAGCCCCGGGATATGGCCCCCGGTACACGGAATAGGCCTGGGATGCGACCCCCAGTACCCGGAATAGTCCCGGGATATGGCCTCTGATACCGGGAACAGCCCCTGTTACCGGGAATAGCCCCCGATACAGTCCCAGGTACTGGGAACAGCTCCCAGCACCTGGAATGGCCTCCAGTGGCGGGAACAGCCCCGTGATACCGACCCTGGTACCCGGAACGGCTCCCGGTACCGGGAGCAGCTCCCTGCCCCAGGAACAGCCCCCAACACCGGGAATAGGCCCGTTATACAGCCCCCGGTACCGGGAGCAGCCCCATGACACGGCCTCCAGTACCAGGAACAGCTCCCGGTACCAGGAACAGCTCCCAGCACCAGGAATGGCCCTGCTGTACAGCCCCTTACACTAGGAATAGCCCCACGATACAGCCCCTGGTACTGGGAACAGCCCTCGGCACTGGGAACAGCCCCTGGTACCAGAACCAGCCTTGTGATCCAGCCCCAGTACCGGGAACAGCTCCCAGTAACAGGAACAGCCCTGGCACTGGGAACAGTCCCCAGTACTGGGAACAGCCCCTCGAGCAACCCCATGTTCAGCCCTGGGGGATGGGAACAGCCCCACATACAGCTCCCAATGCCAGGAACAGCCCCTGGTACTGGGAACAGCCCTCATACTGGGAGCAGCCCCATGTACAGCCCCACATGCAGTCCCTGCTATTGGGAACAGACCATGTATAGCCCCAGGTACAGCCCCAGATATTACCCCCAACATTGGGAACAGGCTCTGTATAGCCCCTGGTATCAGGAACAGCCTCCGGTACAGCCCTTGGTACCAGGAACAGCCCCCGGCACTGGGAACAGCCCCATGAACGGCCCCCAGTACTGGGAACAGCCCCATGTAAAGCCTCTGACACTGGGAACAGTACCTGGGACTGGGAACAGGCCCCATACCAAGTACAGCCCCACAAGCAGCCTTTGTCACCAAGAACAGCCCCACAAAGTGCCCCATGTACAGCTCTGTGAACAGCCCCTGGTACTGGGAACAGGCCTCATACAGCCCTGGGCACCAGGAACAGCCCATGGCACAGGGAACAGGCCCTGTACAGCCCCAGGTACAGCCCCTGGCACTGGGAACAGCCCCCATACCAGTTACAGCCCCACCAACAGCCTCTGTCACCAAGAACAGCCCCATGTACAGCCCTGGCACCGGGAAGAGCCCCATGTAAGAGCCAAAGGCCTTGAGCAACACCCACAGCTCAACCCACAGGCACAGTGCCCAGGTACAGCTCTGGGCACTGGGAACAACCCCAGGTACAGCCCTGGGTGTCAGGAACAGCCCCATGTACTCCCATGGGCACCAGGAACAGGCTCACACTCCTCAGCCCTACCCAGGTGCCCCGAGTCGGGGTGTTGGGGTGTTTTGTCAGGGTGTTGTGTCAGGCTGTTGTGTCGGGGTGTCAGGTGGGTGCTGTGCGGGTGACACCTGGCTCTAGGGGTGCCAGAGAGTGTTGGAGTGTTTTGTTGGGGTGGCGGGGGATGTTGGTGCCAGCATAGGGGGTGTGGGGGTGTTGGGGGG